ATTTTTGTTTTAATCAAAACAGGCGCTGGGCACCTTGTTCACATAAATAAATGGGAATGGAAACAACTTTGTTATGCCAATGCTGCTCAATTCTTTGAACTCTTTCCAAGAGACCATAAATGCCAAGAACCATACAGCAACCTATCATTAATGTTTAACTATCTATTAATGGATACATCTGCCTTCCTTTTTGTCGAAAACACAGTTGTGTAAACTGCTTGACTTGCAAAAAGGTTTATTAGTCAGCCATTATAGACATTAGATTTCACAATATCTGGGAAAATGACTACTAAATTTCTTACTCTTTCACTTTAGAGGCTGAAAAGGTATCTCATTTAACCCAGTATATCTAAAACTTAAAAAAAAAATGAAATACTGTGAACTTTGATAAACCTTTGTCAGTATGTTTTAAAAACTTTTTAAGTGGAACATTCTACGGGGTCTGGCAGAAGCATAAACACCTGCTTGAGTGTGTGGTGGGCAGGGTAATAATACGGCCGTAATGACGTACAGCTTAAATTTGAACATTTCACCTAAAACGTCACATGGCGTGCTTGAGTGTGACATTGTTATGTTACAAAATTACATGCCTACGATTTTGTAATAAAACAGGGGCGTTACTTGTGCCTGACCCTGTGTATAGAGAGGAGGTGAAAGGGTCACGTCCCGAACGCATACCCGTTACTTGGTGGGCAGCCGTGTTTCCTCAGCCCCATCCCTCCTGTCCAGGTTATTTGAAAGCCAACCCGATACCAGGTCATTTCGTCTCTGAGCTTACCAGCACATGACTCTAAAGCACTAAGACTCTCCTTTTCATTAATAATAGCACATTTGAAAAAGTAAACATGTACTAGTAAATATCTAGCTATGCAGATGGCGTTCACAGTTCTACAGCTGTCATTAAAAACATTTTCTGAATATAGAGTCACACGCGGTCCGCACGTTGCAGTTCGTGGGCGGTCTGCCTACCTCCTCCACGGGGAAGCTGGCGCCTGGTGTATCTAGTAATTGCTGAGGACCGCAACCCAGGCCCATTCACTTAGTAGGGGCTGCAAAATGATGGCTCTTCCATTGTACCACTGCTCCTGTGTTTATCAGCTGGAGCGGTTCCACGAAAGGAAAGCTCCAGCCATTGGGAGCTCTTCCAGGCTTCCTCTTCTGTCCTTTTGCTATATCCCCCCGCCCTCAATGTTTGTACTTTCTTACTTTTGGGCTCTATAAGCACCCCAGTTCACGTTGTGTTTTCTTCTCCCAACCATATGATCAGCCACTTCTCTAAGGAGCCCTGGTTCCTTTTCAGTGGAGAAAGACGTTTAGGAACAAGATCTGTGTGCCAGGTGTTCCCCTTGCCTCTGGAGCGTCGTTGCTTCTAGCCTCTCTTGGCGGATGGCTGGGGAACCGTCTAACTTGCATGTTACTGACCCGCAAATGCACACACTCACATGTATTTGTTTCTCTGTCTATGAAAAAGCAACAGCCGTGAATTTCGCTGATATTTCTGACTCCAGGCCAGCAGGAGGTTTATTCTAGAATTCTCCCTATGCTCTTGGTACTTTCGTTCTCTGACAGTGAGAAACTTGGCTCTCATTGCTACAGCATATTTGCTGGTTGGAAGAACCCTAATTATCAGTTTCAAAATTGCTAAGTTTCCCATCTTAGGGCAAAAACATTCAGTGTTTCACTTCTGTGGTATGGTTTTTGGTAGATGCCCTTTGTCGGCTTGTAGACGTTCCTTTCTAGTCTTAGTTTCTAGAAGTTTTGTAATGGTTATGGAATTTTGTCAAAGGCCTCTCTGCATCTCTTGAGATGTGGCTGCTGCCTCTTCACTGGCCTGTGCGTGCGCGGAGCAGCATCGACGGGCTTCTGAGCGGAGAGCCAGGCCTGCGCCTCTGTGCTGACGCCTCTGCGGGTACCATCCTGTGTGTATATTGTTGGGTTTCATCGGCTGGCGTTGCATGGAGGATGTTTGCACCTGTGTTTATGAGGGATACATGAGGATTTTCTTTTCCTCTTACAATGCCTCTCTTTGACTTCGGTGTTAAGGTCATGCTGACCCCGTACCTTGGGATGGGAAGTGCATCTTCTTTTTCCGCTTTCAGAAGGGGCTGTGCAGAGCTGACGTTACTCTTTTTCCTTCGATATTTGATAGAACGAGACAGTGAAATAACCTGGGCCTGAGTCTTCTTTTCTTGGGAGGTTTTAGAGTACACATTTGATTCTTTGAGAGATGTGGGACTAGTTGGGGTTCCCGGCAGTGGGGGCGCAGGGGTAGAGGAGGAGCCTCAGCCAGGGCCGGGTGTGGGGGGCCTGGGACACCCCGGTCCTTAAGTGCTCTTCACCTAAGTGCCTAAATCACAGTGTGGGTGGGGCGGACATCTCCCTGGTTTCTGTGGAAATGCAAGCCCGCCTCCGAGAGGAAACCTCCTAACCCTGTTTCCTCTCAGGGCACAGCCTGGGTAAGGGGAGGGCAGCACATGACAGAGATAAGAGGGGGCAGAGCCATGGAACGGACCAACCACGGTGGCCACCTTGAGTTCAGCCTTCGCAGGCATCTGCAATCACCCGTATGGAAGGATCTGGACGCGGGGAGGCACGTGGTGCCGGGCGAGGCCTGTGAGGGAGACAGAAGCCGGGGTGCCCTAACTGGTCACAGCTGCCCTTTCTTCTGAGTCTTTCCCTTTTTTGTTCTCCCCCCACAAAAGGCATCTATTGCTCTTTTAGCCAGCTCAGGAGCTAAAACAGAATACCGCAGAGTGGGTGGGAAGCAACGCATGTTTATTCCTCTTTGCTCTGGAGGCTGGGAGGTCCAAGGTCATGGCGCTGGCAGATGTGGTGTCTGGGGAGAGCCTGCTCCCTGGTGGCCGAGCCTTCACGTGGTGGACAGGTGGCTCTCGTGCCGTCCTCCCCTGATAAGGCCGCTAATGCCACCATGAGTGCTCTGACCGCCTGCCCTCCCCGAATCCCGCTCACCTCCAAATTCCCCGGGTGGGAGGCCACTGACTGAGGCTGGCGTTTCGGCATCTGAGCCTGGGGTCGCGGACCTCAGACCATAGCAGCTACACGCTGTCCTTTCATGGGCCCTGACAGGTGGAGGAGGACAGAGCCTGACTCCCAATCGTCCCCCCGGAGGCTCATCCTGGTGGGCAGGTCCGGCTGCGGGAAGAGCGCCTCCGGGAACAGCATCCTCCGTGAGCCCAAGTTTGAGTCCAGGCTGTCGGCCCAGACAGTGACCAGGACGTGCCAGGAAGGCACGGCCACGTGGCACGGGAGGAGCATCCTGGTGGTTGACACGCCCTCTATCTTTGAGGCAAAGGCCCAGGACCAAGACGTGTACAAGGACATCGGGGACTGCTACCTGCTCTTGGCCCCGGGGCCCCATGTGCTGCTGCTGGTGACGCAGCTGGGCCGCTTCACCAAACAGGACACGGTGGCAATGAGGAGGGTGAAGGAGGTCTTTGGGGCAGGAGCCGTGAGACACATGGTGGTCCTCTTCACCCACAAGGAGGACTTGAGGGGCGAGTCCTTGGACGAGTACGTAGCCCACACGGACAACCTCAGCCACCATCTGGCCATGAACCTGAGGTTGGCGCTGACACTTCAGAGCAGCGCAGAGTTGGAACAAGCCTGAACCTGGCGTCAACCAACCCCAGAGCCCCGGCCTCTGGACTTCAGCCACTCGATCCCCTTACTGTCCAAGCTATTTGAGCCTGAGGTCTCTTTTCCCTGCATGGGAAAATGCTTGTACCAGTGAAGAGCTCCCCATGGTCCTTTAGGTAGAAATCCCTATATCTCGGAACCTCCCCAAGGAAGTGGCATCGAGATCCAGCGGTTTCATCTTCTCAGACCACCCTCTCCTGCTGAAGGGCCTGCTCCACAGCAGACATCCACCGACTCCTGAATGCAGGGAGAAGTCCGTCTGGGGACGTTATTTTGCGGAGCGGCAGCGGGAGGGCGGAGGATGGGGGACAGCCTGCAGGCCGCGCCGGGCCTCCCTCCGCTCAGGGGAGAAACAGCTCCCGAAGGAACACTTCCCAGGGACTCCCTCTGGCGGGCAGCCCTGTGTGAGCAGAGGGCTGACAGGACCCTTCCTCCTGCTCCACCGTAACATGTCCTCAGTGACTGTCCAGCCTGGCTCCCCCTGGAACCCGACAGAGGTGTTCTGTCACCTGGATGAGCAGGTGACGCCGCTCACGGGGAAGAGACGCCTGGCCGGTGCGCCGCACCCATCGGGGAGGCCTGGCCGCCTGCCCGCCCTCCTGCAGCCCGGCTCCCCAGGACTTTATGGGCCCAGTTCATGCCTGGTCCCCTTCCCTGGAGGAGGATGGGGTCACCCGTTGTCCACTGGGGGACTGGACGATGCACCCGAGGGAGCCAGGAAGAAATCAGAAGAAGAAGAATGTTTCGTCGCCACCTGAGAAAGTGATGTGGAATTCAGATCTCAGTGCCCAGAAAGTCTGCCGGGAGCGCAGCCTCGCAGGTCCCTCCTGCCCCGTCCGCGCACTGTTTCCTCTGCAGGCGGCTGAGACCCTGCGGTCCGCTGGGCCTGAGGCGGCCACGTTGGGCCCTGCTCTACCACATCCCAGCTGCTTCTCTTCCCAGCCGCGGACCCTGCTTTCCCCAAGGGAGCACCCACCCCACCCTGTGGCCCCTGTCCTCTCCTCCTTGCGTGTCCAGGTCTCCTGTTTCCCTCCCCTGACCCCCTTCAGGCCTCCAGGATCCCCCCCAGAATGCACTCTCACCCTCTGTCCGGTGGGGCTGCTGATGGGTGCCGTCCCTTCCAGCCTATGATGAAGCCAGAGTGTGTTTCTGAATAAAAGAAGGAACGCTGCTACCGGCTTCTGATGTAACCTATTTCTTCTCTCAACGTGTAATATCACAGTCCACTCCCCTTCCTTCCTGGAACCCCCCCTCCCAGAGACTTCAGAAAGGCATCCAATCGATCATTCACCTCCACGATTCTTAACAAAACAGACCAAAAAGACATGTTTTTTCCTTTGGGTTTTATTTATCTACAAGTGCTTGGAGAACGTGAATGACATGTCTGATACAAGGAAGAGGAACTGAGCCTGAAATGAAGTAAAAAGCAAATGCAGTATCTTATAAACATAGAGACAGTGAGTCTGGAAGCAAGAAGCTAATTGTAGAAGTCTGCTGGAAATGCTTAGTGCCCACGAGTAATACCCCAGTTAATTAAAACGGCAAGATAAATCAAAATGCAGATCACGATAAAGGCCAATAACCCAATGTGAGAAAAGATCCACTCTTTGACTCTGAGCAGAGTCTTGGACACCCTGGGACCCTCCAACTCCTTCAGGTCTCGCTTTTGCTTTTCCACCTGCGCCTGCACCTGGGCCAGGTAGCCGAGCTCTTCACCGCAGGCGCCGTCCTGGCGCTTCCGCAGCTCCTGCGCTCGGGAGAAGAGGTCGTTGCTGTAGAAGGCGCCCTCGTGGTCCTGCTTCAGGCTCTCGACCACAGCCATCAGCTCTGCCAGCTGCGCCCTCTGCTCCTCCCCCGTGGCCCGGTTGTTGAAGCCACAGTACCTGCCCCCGCACTCATGGACCAGGCCCCGCAGGCTGAGGTTGTCCGTGTGGGCTAAGTACTCGTCCAAGGACTCGCCCCTCAAGTCCTCCTTGTGGGTGAAGAGGACCACCATGTGTCTCACGGCTCCTGCCCCAAAGACCTCCTTCACCCTCCTCATTGCCACCGTGTCCTGTTTGGTGAAGCGGCCCAGCTGCGTCACCAGCAGCAGCACGTGGGGCCCCGGGGCCAAGAGCAGGTAGCAGTCCCCGATGTCCTTGTACACGTCTTGGTCCTGGGCCTTTGCCTCAAAGATGGAGGGCGTGTCAACCACCAGGATGCTCCTCCCGTGCCACGTGGCCGTGCCTTCCTGGCACGTCCTGGTCACTGTCTGGGCCGACAGCCTGGACTGGAACTTGGGCTCACGGAGGATGCTGTTCCCGGAGGCGCTCTTCCCGCAGCCGGACCGGCCCACCAGGACCAGCCGCAGTGAGGATGATGATTCTGAACAGTTATCTCCTACTCTGCCTGGAAAAAATGAAAAAGACCGTGTGCTCAGCTAGTGATGCTTAGGATGTTTCGGCACGGACCCTCATGGTATCGCATAAAAACATGGACCTTCCTTCCAGGAAAACAGTCCTATCTAAGTGCATAAAAAAGCATGTCGATGACTTTAGGAGGCACTTGGTCACAGGAAGTCTGCCTGGGAAGCCCACCTTGCAGCCACACCCGGGAGGGAGAACGGCCACACTGAGCAGGATGCGCCAAGCCCTTCACCGAGACCAAGGGAAACACAGTGTTTCTGAAAGAGAAGTGGTCCCGTGTTTTCTCAGGATAGTACCTGGCCCAGGTTCATGCTAAATCAATGAGATTAGACGGAGGCAGAGGATCAGTCACAAAGGGGAAAATGTTACCACCTGTTTTTCATCCACCAACTCCTAGTCACATCTGTGTAGAAGTGCTCAACACACTTGCCTAGACCTTGGGAGGAATGGAAGTGTCAGATGTGACCTTCTACCAGGGACCAGCCGAGGGTCCCTGGGTCTCTGCTCATTGGGTGGGAAGTAGGGTGCTTGAAACTGAGACAACAGAGATGTCAAGGGCAACGTCCAAGAGATGACCTGGGATGGGTGGCTGAAGAGGAGTAGAACGTAAGACCATTAGAAGTACATGCCCTGGTTGGTGTGGCTCAGTGGATTGAGTGCCAGTCTGCATACCAAAGGGTCGCTGGTTCGATTCCCAGTCAGGGCACAGGCCTGGGTTGTGGGCCAGGTCCCCAGTAGAGGGTGCACGAGAGGCAACCACACATTGATGTTTCTTTCCCTCTCTCCCTCCTTTGCCTTCTAAGAAAATAAATACGATAAAATAAAAAAAGAAAAAAAAAGAAGGACACTCATTGGAGAAATCCTCTACTTGGCTGATTGAACTACAGGAAGTTAACGAAGGTGGTGTTGGAAAGGGAACAGGGGGCCGGGAGCAAAAACCTCAAGGGACCAAGGAGGGTGAGAGCGAAGGAGTTCTGGGGTTCTTGCGAACCCACATGAGCTCCAAGTGCATTGTGGGCTCCAAAAATCTATTGTTTTTCTTCTACCCTGGGTTGACTCATCCCATCTCAAAGTGTTCTGGGATGTTTTGTGGCAAACATGGTGACTAAGTCTCTCTGGGAAACTGTTCCATTTTCAGCTGAGAGTAGACAAGGAAAGAGAAACTTTATTCACAATTCAGCTCAAAATCCTCTCACTTCTGACTTGGAGTCTCCTTTCCACACATCCCACATGTCGTGCGCACGCACAGCACTGTGCTCTGGGGTCGGCAGGGGTGTGCTCATGAAGGGAAGGGAAAGAACAAACGCACGCTGCCCTTTTCTTCTGCAGTGTAAAGTAGCTGGGCTGCTGTCTCTCTGTTTGAGGTGAGGGACCGGAGCCTCTTGGGAACTGGGAGGCTCTCTTACCTTCAGCCATAGTCCCGTATCTGCTGCTCGGGTGTCCTTCCATCCTCTTCTGAAATAAAAACAGAAAAAGAATAAAAAGCGTGTCCACGTGGGAGCTGGTAAGGCCTGGGGACACCTCCAGTTCAGGCCTGGAAGATGAGTCCTCCGTGGAGGAGCCATTCCCGTCGCTAGCGTCCTAACTCACGTTATATTTGAAAATGTCTCTAAAGAACTTCCAGCAAACCAGCAGATGCCAACACAGCGTACGTTAACACCACGCACGGTTGCTCTGTCTTCTCACCTTCCAGGAAAGCAGGAAGGGTGTTAAACCACGCCGCTTGCTTATGCCCATGTAACTGGAAAAGGATGTCATCCAATGACACCCAATGTCGTTGATGGCAAGGCCATGTTTGCTCTGCTCTAGCAAGTTTCTTGTCAGCAGCCCCCCAAGCGGTCGGTGGAGAGGAGAGGGTGTTGTGACCAAAGAGAAATCGACATTCAGCACAAATTCAAGAGAGACTCGCTCTGATAGGTGTGGCTCAGGTGGTTGGACGTCGCACTGCAAAGCAAAAGGTCACCAGTTCCATGCCCAGTCAGGGCACAGGCCCGGGCTGCAGTTCAGTCACCACAGGCGACGAGCAACAGATCAACATGTCGCTCACACATCGATGCCTCTCTCCATCTCCTTCTCCCTTCCTTCCCCTCTCTTAAAATCTTCAAAAAAAAAAAAAAAAAAAAATTCCAGAGAGACCCACTTCTCACTCAGGGTTTCGTCAAATGTTTCTCCTGGCCGGCTCTGAGGTCCGTGTCCCTGACTGATCACCATGTTGTATCCCAGGGGATTTAAACAGAAATTGGCACAGATGTTTCACTCACATGAGGTATAACGGTGTGTTATCTTGGTGTCAGAAGGGCAAGTATGGGATATACAGCTATACCTCTGATGAGACTGTATTTATTTATCCTTTAATAGTATGCAGTTATGAAACACAGTTTTTAAGTGAAGAAATACACCGAGGTATAAAACGAAAGCCTGCCATTAAAAATGAACGAGTGTAAGTATTTGGCATTTTTACGGCAGCTCCTTTGATCGATGGCAAAGCCGGAGCATCACACACGGAACCTGCTGGCGGTTTCGACCCCAGGCCCTTCTCCCGCCCTCTTGCCTTCCGACACCGCCCAGGGCCTGAGGATTTTATCCCTCATTCTCATGTGTGTACATCCACTTCTGCACACATGGCTATTTAAGTAAAACCTAGGACTGTTTTTGTGTTTTAAACTTTTACATAAATGACATTATTTGTGTAACATTTAATTCAATTATTTATTAACACAACTTTAAGCTCTTTCAAAATATATGTTTGCTGCAAAATAATCCCCACGCACTGTTCATCTCTGTGCACACGTGCAAGAATCTCTCTCAGGTGGCCAGCTCCCTCTGCCTAGATGTTGCTCACTTAACTGCAAGAGCGCTCTGCTAATTCTCGCCACCATCAGCTGCGTGGGAGAGCTCCCCGTAGCTTCGCTTGCATCTGTTGATGTTCAACTTGTAACATTTTAATCACTCTCATGGGCATAAATAAGGGTGTCTTAGTTGGTACACTTGCATTGCACGGATTACTGTTGAATTAAAAATGGTTTTCATGGCTTGTTTGCTATTCAGGTTGCTTCTGTTATATGGAAATAACATTTGCATGTTTTTTCCAGTCACTTAGTGTTTTTTGGCCCACCTTAAGAAAAACATCCATTGTCTCATTGTCAGACTATACTAAGGCAACTTCCTTCCTTCCTTCCGTCCTTCCTTCCTTCTTTCCTTCCTTCCTTCTTTTCCTCCTTTCTTTTCCACCCCCCTCTTCCCACTCGCCCCCTTCTTTCCTGAAGCCCACGGAAGAGCATATCCTCACCCCCCTCCCTTACGCTGTCCTTGTCCCCAGGAAATTATACCCTGGCTCTTGTTAAACCGGCTCAAAATCTCTCACCCTTTTCGACCTTAGATGACCTTGGTGAGGTTTGGAAACCTGAGAAAGGACGCTGGAATCCATCCAGCGATGTGGTGACGATGATGATGGGGAGCCTCATCGTCCTGCTAATCTGTGCGGCCTTTTATAACTTTCTAAGTCCTTTCATGTCCGCTATTTTAACTGTGCTCCTAAATTAAGATAAGTTTTCCAGTTTTAATTAAAATTGGGGAACTCAGCAACAAATGGCCCACCCAAGGTCACACAATTGCCAAGGAGCAGAGACTGAAAAGCGGCTCCTTGTCCCCGCGGACCCTCCTGGGTTCCACGGGAGGGAAAAGATTATTCCCAGTAAGGCCACAGCCTCTTAGACCCCCACGTGCGACGCGGCCGCCCGTGCTCAGGACGTAGAGGGGTGCCGACAGGCTGGAAGCCTGCCCTGGACCCAACAGACAGTTGTAGGGCAGAGCCTAGAGTGCACGCTTTCCCTGGAGAAGGTGAGTCCAAGGGAAAACTGCAGGGGCGGGAGGAGCTCTGAGCTGAGGCGTTTCAGCGTCCGGCAACCTGGTGCTTTGTTGACTTGCTTGTTTATGTGACCCCAGTGGAGCCAGGTGCCCGTCACAGAAAGCCAGTCCCACTCAAGTGACATTGCAGAGACGCAGTGTAGTAGTTCTCCTGGGCCACCTTCTGGACGCGGCAGGTGGCAGGGGAGGGGAGGACGTGCGCCCCACAGAGGAACGGGCTTTCGGGCAGATAGTAACCACTAACCCAGTGTCCGGGGAACCAGAAAGGATACCGACGGAACGCTAACGTGAGCCACGAAGGGTTAACAAGACTGAATGGGGCCGAGGCAAAGGCTGGGGTGCATCCCAGGCCTGAAGGGACGTGGGACGTGTCCACACTGAGGCAGGTCAGAGCAGGAGGACAGAGACAGGAGACAGACTCCTTCCCCAGGAGGAAAACTCTAATCTTTTCCAAAATGGGGCCGGGGTCACGGGAGGGCAGCGGGCAGGGTGCCAGCCGAGGCTATACCAGCGCAGACAGCGGGCGGGTCCAGGGCCGGCGGGCGGTTCAAGAAAACGGACATAACGTACCTTCCTACCTTCTGATTTTAAAATCATAGGAGCCCGATTGTGTTCTCATTTTATCGAACCAGGAGAAAGCAGGCCCTCTCATGCTGCTTTAGGAGCATCAAACTGTATCTTGTCTGCCTTGTTCACCGCGTGTCTCCTTCACTCACCCGCCACAGTCCCTGCATTTCCTGGGATCAGAGCCTCTTGTTTTGTAGTTCAGTTCCTGGGATTTCTCGATACTGTCTCCCAAAAGGCTTGGCCCACAAAGGGATTGCTCTGTCTGCCGTGAATATACGTCTGCCACACAGCTGCACCCTATGTCCTGTCCTGTTGGAGGTCTGGGAGAGAACGTGGTGGTTTCCAGAAGGTCAAGGTATGAGACAACCTGTGCTCAGGGGTCTCCCGTGTAAAATGTAGCTTAACGGGGGGACAGGCTTAAGGAGTTCGGAGGGTAAACTGAGGAGCATGCCCCCACCTCGCCCTGGCATCTGAGGAGGTTGCTTGCTCATCTGTCAGGTGGAGTGAGAATATTCGTCCAGCTGTGCAACGCCCTGCGTCCCCAGGAAGATGCAGCGGGCCAAGCAGCAGGCGGCGAGCCGGGAGGCCCAGACCCTGTGGGGCGCGGTGGGCTGTGCGCGCGGGGCAAGGGGTTCCCACGCCTGTTTCCCCCACTGTCAACACCCCTGGGCCCAGAACGCCACTGTTGTCGTTCCCTTTTACTGACAGGTGAGCCCAGGAGTAGGGTGACCTGGGAGAGATCAGTGGCTGTGACCCGGCCGCATTCTCTCAGACTCTCCCGGCGCTGGGCCTTGCCCGGGGTCCCCTTACCTGGCGAGGCGGTGCGGGCGCCGTGCTCGGCCGGCCCGGGAAGGTGCACGCAGGAAGCCCGCAGAGGCTGTTAAAGAGGAGCTGCTGGGAGACAGAAAGTTCCGGGACCACGCTGCAAGGAACTAAGTAGACAGGGGAGTGCTGAGCCCGCCCTGCGTCGGCGCAGACAGGAAAAGGTCCCAGATGGGCGGCGAATCGGCTGCAAAGAGGGCCAGCGAGGGCCTGTGTGCTGTTTGTCTGCTGAAGGGGACGCTTCCTGCCACAGCCTGTGCGCTGCCAGCCCCCCTCCCATTTCCCTTTTATAACTTGTCAAGATAAGCAGTGTTTGGAGGCAGTGACGCACACCCCACACCCACCCCGTGGCCAGGCTCAGAAACAGACCTGTGACACAGACGAGGGCCTGGGGGCCGCCGGCCCCCCCCCTGCAGGGGCACCTGCCCAGCCCTGCACTGCAGGGCTCTTCTCAGGGCTCTGCTTCTAGAGTGTTCCTTCTACCTAGGGACAGACAGGCACGGCTGGTCCACAGAGGGCCCGGAAGACCAGGTCCAAGGGCATGGCTTGGATGTGCTTCCCCCACTGGGTGCTGGCGGCCCCGTTTCTGCCAGCCCACAGACCAGCCCTGTGAGATTTGGGGGGACTGGAGCGATATGTGTCGGTTCATTCTGGTGGCAGCTGGAGTAGGCCTGTAGTTTCACTATTTGTCAACTGATTGCACATTGAAGGCTGGGGCAGTGAGCGGCCGACGATTCTGTTGCAAAGCGAGGTGGAGAACACAATGTGGGCTTAGGCTCCCACATCCTCTGGGTCAGTTTTAATAGTTTTAGTTGCAAATCCAGGAGGCTCTACTTGTAAGTGGGGATGCTGTTTTATCCTGACTATTAAACAAAGTGATTTATAGGATCAGATCACGTCATTTGCATAAGTGAAGTATGAGGGTCTAACCCTGAACTCAGTGGGTAAAAGTCCTGTAAGCCACGCCTAAAAGGACACTTCCCTGGGGGGAATGGTGGATTGCAGCTGTTTTATAAGAAGCCAGTGCTAGAAAATGCAGCACATGGTCTCGAGCCTGGTGCTAGGAAGCTAGCGCAGAGAGGGGGTGTGGCCAAGCCAGTGTCTCCTTACATTTCTCACAGGTTGCTGACCCCATTTTACACGCCAGGCGCTGTATTGTAAAATGGGGACAAAGGTGAAAAGGTCTGAATCAAA